TATCTTATGTCCTATCTCCCTTCTCGCGTTTCCTGTTCTCTCACTTTTTAATATTGGATATTGTAAAAGAAATTTATATTATTTTATTATTTTTATGCGCAGCATTTCCATGCGTTGCAGGTAACAAGGGAACGCGAGAAGAATTTCGCAATGCGATCGATTTAACGTTAAGGCTTTTTTGAGGGTCCAACGTGCACTTCACCTCACATGTGACCGGAAAGAATAAATAAATTGTAATGTAAATCCCTATAAATCCTTCGCACGACCCTACGCCGCCATCGCATTTACATTCAACATACTCCCATAAATTTTTATCGACTGCATTGACGAACTGCCGATCCCCTCCCCCGAATCCAACAATGGACATAAATTCCATGGCGCCCTTTGTTAGGATACTTCCATTCTCGCTAGAGACCTCCTTTTTACACATGAGGGATATCATTTATATTCATGTCGAACTGTGGTGGAACCGATCGTGACAATTCATCATTTAGAGCTCTCTATAATAATCAAACAGGAATACGTTCAAGTTAAAATTTAATTTAGGCTTTTAATCAATACGAATGTCTCGTTTATCTTTAAAAAAAAAGCTTGCGATTCAAAGTTAGAAAAATCTCATTCATTTATCGATTCGATTAAAGTTAAATTTATATTTAAAGCTTTTAGCCGTAATCACACTAAAAGTAAAGCTCCAACTTTATTGAAACATTCCGAATTTAAGCTACGTTAATAAGAATTATGTATTTACAATCGATAGCTGGCAATTGCAGTCTTCATTTACAAAGAATAAGTCATCGAGGTGCACGTGCTGGTTTACGTAATTACGTTCTTGCTTTGGAAAGGTCGTCGATACAAAGAATGATTCATTGCGTCCTTCTCAGCGTAAACGCGGTGACTGTCACGTTGTAATTTTCGCAATAGATTTTGTTACGAAAAAATATTTTACAAGGAATGTCAGGATATAATATAAGTTTATCGTGCTCATTCTATTGTTTTCTCCATGTATTTTTCTCCGTGTGTTCATATCCTGTTTCCTGTTGCGATAATGACGCTACAATGTTTTGAAGACCGCGTTAAAATTTTTAACACAAATATTTCATTATATGTATAAAAAACGAAGAAAGTATATAACGTAATATGAAAAAAGATCCGAATATTATACATATATAGCTGAATAATATGGTTTAAACGAATAAAATATTTATACATGATTTCAATACAATGCAGATTATAAAAATATTGCTTTTGCTTCATTCATTCCATTATAACTCGTACCTTATTTTCTTAATAAGCAATTAAACTTTATCAATTTTCGATATTAAAAGGTAAAACGTCCCCTTTTCACTATTTTTTAATCATTGATGTTCATTAATGAACATTGCTAATATTTGCACAATATTTATCGACACGTAATTAACGGTGAAATGTTGAACAAAAATTACTCTTTTTTAGGGAAAATCCATCTTGTATATTACAAATAAAATCACAAAGTATTGGATTTTCCATCTCTGACGTTATATATGTCAATGCTAAATACGTATTTTTGAACTTATATATATATATATTTCGCATTGATCAATTTCGAGATTAAAAATAAAATTACATAGCCTGCGTAACGTGACATGCAAAAATTATTTGAAATATTAATACGGATTTTATTTCAAATACGTGTGCGACAAATACACAGCATAATAGAGAATTTATTTATGATAATAAGATATATAATAGAGAATTTATTTATGATGAAAATGTTAAAATATTTAGACAGAAAAGTTATGTAAAAGCATAAAACTATATATAAAATCTAAAAAAATACGTACGTTCCAAAACTCTTTGAAAGTAAATCTCACTCTAAAGAATGAAATTCTTAGAGATTGAAAATCGAATTACATTTTTTTTTAAGACTGGCTCAATTTTCACTCTTTAGAATGAGATTCCACTCCAAAGAATTCAAAGAATAACGTAACTATAAGTTTTATTTAAATGCCAAGGGATTTGCTCTCACAATAGCAGCGCGATGTTACAACGCAAAGAAATTCTGTTCTGCGGTAAGAATTCCCCAAAGAAACTACGGATCATCTCGCGCGATTGACATGCACTCTAAACGAAATCAGACGGCAATGACGTTGCTTGTCGCGTGGCCATGAAAATGCAATGCACATCGTAGTATGTGGCACGAATAAAAGTGTGTACCAAACGATTTATCGATCGATGCATCATATAAGAACATCATGCATCATATTGGTCGCGCCAAGAAAATCTATTTTTCTCCACGGAAAAGACGATTTTGTTGAAGTATCTAAGAATTTAGCTACATATAGATTTGAAAATAAATTTGTTGGATCATGAAAATAATTTCGCAGGGCGCTCTGATTGTTAGAATATCAAAACTTTTTGCAGCATTGCTTATCATACTTGAGATTCCTACATAATTATTTTAATGATTCAACACAATTATTTTTAGATCTGTATCCAGCTAAATTTTTAGATACTTCAGAAAAACTTAATTATCATCATTACTAGGTAATTTTGTTCCTGGATATACGAAAAGAACGATTTTGCCGAAACATCTAAACATTTAGCTAGATACAGATTTGAAAATTATTTTGTTGGTTCATCAAAATAGTTACGTATAGAAATCTCAAACATGATGAGCAATGCTGCAAAAAGTTTTGACATTCTAGCAACCAGTTTGAGCGTCCTACATACCTAATTATTTTGATGATATAACAAAATTACATATTTTCAGATCTATATTTAACTGAATTTTTAGATGCAGCAAATCCTTTCTGTGTATTATTCTTTTTATATCAGTATGTTATTTTAATATACTACTCAATTATAAATTTATTCATAATTAAAGGATCCTGCATTAATTGTATGAAAAATTAGATCGAGGTGCAATAAGTTAATTTTCACATATGATGTACCTAGCTATGTAGCTTATAATTTGAACAAAATATGTTATATAGACGCAAGACTTATGCCCAATTTCTTCACCTCTAGATAACTTTATCCAAGAGATATCTCCCAGAATACAATGGAGATATCTCCTGGGTAAGGTTATCTGCAACTTATCTGGAAGTGAAGAAATTAGGCATTAATAATGGATAGTTTTTATGGAATATCAAGCTATGGAATATCAAAGATATAAAACTTATGTTCAAAGAGCATCTTAACCATAGCTTAAAAATTTTTCATTATTAAACTTTTATATTAATTTTTGATTAAACTTTGTGTCCATTTTTTATTCACTATACGTTATAAGCATTATACATTATACATATATGCAAACTTATTTTATCGAGACCCAATTTTCTACGTAATTACTGCGGAGTCTTCAAAATTTTTACTTTCTTTCTGCCGTGAATAAAAAATCGGAAAGAGCTGGTGTCCATCTAAAAATCACCAATTATGGCCTAATAGCACAATTTACTGGTGCAATGTTGGTTCAATATATCCCGAATGCATGACAATGTTTAACCAATATCTCGCCAACGAATTGTGCTACTCGAGGGAGTTAACTCATATTCGATAGTAATTTAAATTAAAATATCAAATTAAATAAAATGTATAAATTAAATTAAAATATCAAATTCATACACAGAAAAACATCATTCTATCTATTGCTAAAACAAATAATTACTCAATTTATTTTCTTTCTTTTACGTAATGATTATTTTCATAAAACATATTTTCTTGATAATATAATCTTAAAATATACTTATTACAAATTTCAGAAAAACACATTAATATGTATTTAAAACAGGAATTTATTTTCTTTCAAAGAATATTCTATTATAAAACCGATCGAAAAAGTAACTTGATATAATAAGCAAATCAAACCTGTTTTAATTTAATAATATTGATTGAAGTATTAAACTTATTAGGATTCAGAATATATTTTGAACAGATTTGACGCTTATGATAGATTTGCGGATATATGAACTTTTAAAATACTTGAAATAAGTAATTATTATTTGGTACAGTATGTATTTTTCTGTGTGCATAAATCGAACATCGTTTGAATACTTTTTTACTTTCCTTTACTCCTTGTTTCACTCTCTTTCACTCTCGCGAATCATTACGTAATTTGAGTTTGTGAGATATATATACGATATGTTTTTTAAATATAACACATTCGCTTGCGTTAATTTTACTAATCTGTCACTTTCAACAGCTTCAAATATCTGTTTATATATAGGAAATAAATGTAGCAGTGAAATTATTTTTAAGAAAATCGAGAAGATAATTTGATTACCTGAACGCAATGTATACAGCGCATTAAAAGATTAAAATTTCACGTTGTAAATCGGGAACGCGAATAAAACGTGGAGAAACGGAGCTCTAATGGTTTGAATGTTTACGCGGCGTGAATAATATATGTATCATCGCCGCCGCGTGAATTTAGCCGCGGATCTTTTCAAGTTTAAAACAAACAAGAAAGTTACATCATATAATATGTAAATAATAAATAGAATAAATTTCGTTTCGTGTATATTCGGCACTTGGCACAAACACTAAATATACGACAAATGAAAGAAACGTATAGATTATAATGTATAAAACAATACAGCGCAGGAGCCAATCGAACGACCTTGAAAATAATGCATCGAAAAAGTATCAATGCGAATGTTCTTCCTCACGACACTGTTGGCAGCTTTTCAACCTACTTCGATGCCCGTAAAATCAAATTACATAATACGAACAGTTACATGCGATTGTAACACGGAGTGTAACAAACTGATATCCGTTTCTATCAATAATGATTACTTTTAATTCCGACTTTAACTGTTTACACTGAATATTTTTCTCATTTTTAAAACTAGAAAAAGATAAAGGATAAATTAAAAGATAAGAATAAGATTAAAGTTAATCTGTATTGATAGAAACGCGAGCATGAGAGATCAGCTGGAAGCGTCAAGTATCATCGCGAGCGAAAAAAGTAATGAAAGACAAGGACGAGGGAAAAGTGTTATGTATAAAAATTGGTGGCTCGCCTTGACTCTCGGCATACGCGGTAGGGATGATAATCGTCAGCAGCAGCGTCAGAAGGATCAGCTCCAGTTTGCACCTCACCGTTGCACCGCTCCCCCCCCCCCCCCCCCCCCCCCCCACCACCGCCGTTGACGGCGACGACGCGTCGCGGATCGGCGCGCCGGGAATCGCGCGCCATGTTCCTGAGACTCGGACACCGCTGACTGCCTGAACGCGTTGACCGCGACTCACGCGAACGTCATGACACCACGGTGCTCCTCACGACACGCACGCTCCTCGCACGTTGGCTGTCTCGCGTCTGTCGTTCGCGCGCGCACACACCACACTCACGTTACCGACCACCCAGCCCGACTGGCTCCGGATTGCTCCGAATGCTCCGATACTTCCTGACGCGCAGACCGTTGCGACACCTCTGAACGTTGCTTACGTTGCCCGACCGCCCGCTTCCCCCACTATGGCGACGTTGAGTCACCGCACTCACGGCGCGGCGCATCGAAAATGGCCGAGCGCGCGCGATCGCGAGCGCGCCGTAATGCACGGGATTCAAATGCGAATTTCACAACATGTTTTATTTCGGTAAGTTTTTATTGTAATAATCCGGAAAAATCTTTGCAATCATATATTTGATGATATTCATACCGGAAATTTGACTTTGAAAAATTCAATTTTTGAGACTACCATTTTCTACTATTTTCAATTTTTCGAAGAGGTATCGTATCTTTATTTTTATTTTGCAAATAAAACTACGTGTATTCTGTAAATATTTATTATGAGAGAGAGAGAGAGAGAAATAATATAAGATAAAATAATAAATCTTTTAAAAGTCGATGAAGTTAACGCTTGTATACTTACTTCGATATGCATGCGAAATATGTAATAAATATCTATTTAATCGATAATATAGATATAGCATGACTATACGTTTTTTATGTCAAATATAAAAACTTGCGTAAGATCATCTACTTATTGCTCTTATTCGGTATTAATATTTAAAGAATTTAAAAGAGAATATAAATGAAATGTTAGTAATAATAATTTCCATAGGCATGTTTTCTATGGCTGAATTTATGTATGCACTTTTGGAATTTAAAGCGAGATAGGTATATTTTTGATATTTGGCAAAAGCGAGAGTTCTAGTGCAGTCTAGTGCAGGAATAAAAACCACACATAATGTATAGTATCGATCAAACTTTATGGGTGGATGATTCGGTTGGAGTCCACGACTAGCAGGTGAAAATTCCTAAATCAGCTGGAGGTACCTACTTTATTTGTCTTTTATTATGGAAAGCGTACGAAAAGAATTGACGAAAAGAATCGTAAACGAATGTAAAGCAAAAGGGACATCAATAACTAAGGATTTAGCTTCGTTTTTGGTAATTTCATATAACTCCAATGAAATAATATTGAAACGCAAGCAAGATACTAAGCGGTGATTACAGTTCTTAAAAATTTGTAGCTCTCTCTTTATCAATTAAATCCAGTGTATAGAATAAAAGAAAACGACGAGGAAAATGCCAAAGTAATTCCAGCTGTAACGGAGAGGCTATGTGACCAAAGCCGACCCAGTCTTGTAACTTTGAAAAATCAGCTATACTTTGCTAAGCATTATCATGACAGAGGTAAAGGTGTTTAATTGAGATGTTTCTATTTGTACAACTATTATTACGATTTTATACTTTGGCTTAGATGAAACTGTCAAAAGGCATCGATTACGACTGCACCAGAAAACTGCACCTTTAGTCGCTGAAATTTGCGAAACTAATAAACTGGAGAGTGGGAAGGATACGGAAAAACTATATCAGAAAATATTAGCAGTAATAACGCTTCTGAGTGGTCTGGGAAGTCCCACGGTCCCATCGGTTCTGAGGTAATCACATTGCTCACATTCATACAAATTTAATAAGAACTCAAAGTTAACAAAATCAAATCAATAACATTCAGTTCTCCATCTCACATTTCTCTATTCTCAATCACGAAAAATTTACCTTGTGCCAAATGCGGCATTATCACGAGAATTATTACATCGCAAATGATAAGAAATATTGTCGTCTACAAATCGTAATCTACACTAACCGAAAATTATAACGGATATATTATACACAAAATTATTATATTTAATTTCTCGTAAATCTCTAACTTGCTTATTATATTTAAATGATTTAAAAATATGCAAGTTAATAGGTGAGATGCTCAAAACCACAAAAAATTTCAGTTTTGTTATATTTTTTACTAATATATGTTATGCTTAAATTTATATTAGTACAATATCCTTATGAGACAGAGAAATGTAAAAATAATGAACTTTAAAATTTCTAAACAATTCTTTTTTTCTTTTTCCAAAATTAGATTTTAAAGAAAACTGTATTCGAGCCATTCTATTTACTCATTTAGCCATGTTTTCACAATCTATGGTTACCTAAGAATAAAGATTACCATGAAATTCATGAATAAACTTCATTGATGAATCTCTTGGCAGCCTTTAATCTTTACATAATCACATATTATGAAAACGGGCCTTAAAGGTTAAATAATGATAAATATAATATTATATAAACATGTATTTTACATTATATAGGGAGGTTTCAGTAGCGTTACAGAGCGTCTTCCAGGCTTCCGAGCTGACTCATTATGTAACTTTGCCGAAACGAGAGAAAGAGGAGCAATTGATGGAGTTAATGTGTCTAGTAGCAGGGATCCGTCTATTTAACAGAGATTGTCAACGCGGTGGCGAGGGGATCGACGATCGTAAGAGCATGGATTAATTTTTAATCCGACCGATGGTGACAGCGTAAATTTAAATGACTTTAAATGGAGATGATATCGCGAAAAATGTTACAATTACGTGAAGGTTTTCTACAAAAATGATTATAGATAATTGTTTTTTAGTGCCGAGCATTCTACAAGAAGCTCTAATGAAGACCCGCAACTCTATTCTTGAGCTGTTAGAGCCGTTAATGGCCAAAATATACAAATTCACGGCTGTCGTGGAAAATGCAGTCACATGCATGTCAATCGATGTTTCGGATGCTGCATGTTGCAGTTCAAAGGAAGCGGCATCCGACGCGGAAGAAAAAATCGAGTGGTTCATCGAAATGTTAACGGCTAGTCGTCAGCAAGAGATCTACATCAGGTATCTATAGAAAGAGAAATAAACAACAAATAATCTATAAATAAATAATAAATCTAATAAATAATAATTAATACTTTATAAAAATAAATAATAAATGATCTCCACATTGACACGATTTCTAATATAATTTTGTTATAGAAAGCTGCTGAGTGATGTGGAGCGTAGTGAGAATGCAGTGAAAGACTTGATGGAACGTCTTCAAGCACGATTTTTTAAACTTCACGACACTGTTCGATACAGAACGGCTATCCCTACTACTCAAGTCTACGTAAATACGACTACTTGAAAGAATAAATTATAGTTAATGTTCGACATAATTATTTAAAGCATTTATTTTCAAAAGTTGAAAGTTATGAAATCCCACATATTCAGTTTTAATAGAATAATAGTAATAATTCAGCTGGAATTAGATTTATTTGTTTCCACGTAAATCTAATATCATTATTCTGTAGAATGGAAATAACTTGTTTACAAAAATTTACTTTCTATTAGTAAAATTTTGTAATAAAAGATAATGTTCCTTTAAAATCCAGAAAATTATAATTAAATCTTCATTTGAATAAAATATATGTTAAACCGTTTTCAATAAATGTAATCGTATTATGATTAATAATTATACATTCTGTCTATTAGCCGCAATTTATTGATCTGGCGGATATATGGATGGGTTTACAAGATGAGGTGATCACTCTGAGTAACATCAACAACTTCCTGTGGGAGTTACAGGGTTTGAGCAATAAGGTATTAATGCATTCGTCTGCATCGATTTAAACGTGTATTCATATAACATATATCCTGAATAATTTGTGTTATAGACTGTGAATATTTACGATCAAACAAAGTTAGAAAATATAGCTGAAAATGTGGAGATTTTAACCGATGCTGAAAGATTGGAACGTACCATGGGCAATTTAATAAGTACTAATAATTTTCTATAGATTACAATAAATATTAAATGCAAATAAATTTTTACTTGATCTTATTTTAATTGCATAAAAAATATATATGTGTTTTTACAGCGGAGTGTGGAGAGTGCTTGATATATTATCCAAATGTCACTAAAGATTTTGAGAAGATAAACTTAGAGGTAACCGCAATAGAACAGCAGTTAATGCTTCTATAATTTGACAAAATTAAAAAAATTAAAGTGTTTATTTAAAGATTTATGTGATTTTATTCTCGAATAAATTTTCAAATAACGCTGAATTGAGGGATGTATTAGTTTCTAGGATTTTGCGCGTGGACATTTGCAACAGGCAGAGGCGCCCTTATACCAGGAAACCCGAATAACGGTGTGGCGAAATGGAGAGGAAAACATTACGCCTTTAAATCACCCGAAGTAGCCGATAAATTCGGAAAAAATCCCGACAGGTATTCTTTCATTGTAAATGAAAGTAATCTATAAATTTCTTAGTTTCGAATGTTAATAGGTATGTTTACGACGCGCTCAATTTTGTCCGCAATCATGCGGAATACATCCACCTATTCCAATTACATGAAGAAATTGAAGCCATGCAAAGTCAAGAAGAGTGAGTTGCTGTTATATGTATATAATCATATTCTATCGCTTACCCAAGATATTTAATAAATGTAAAAAATACACTTATTTTTCCAGATTAACGGAAAAAGGATTGCGACTGAAGACTCGTCATGATCAAAAAGTTCAAACGGACGTCCATATACTTCCGCCCTACATTGATAAATATTATACTTCCAGCGTTTGGGAGTTGAAGCGTAGAGCATTACGCCTGGTAAGTAGAACTTTACCGACGTTCTAAAAGAATTTAATAATATATTGAAATAAAAAATTTCAACGATAAAATTTATATTTGAGGAATATAAAATGCTCAATTTTTTAGTGATAACAATTTTAAGAACTATTTTTATCTACTCACGAATATTTCAATGCATTATTATTTGTAAAATTCTGTTGTTAGACACGTTAATCGAATATATGTAATTGTATCACACATTTATCATACATAATTAATTTTTTTATTTTCTAGTTCTATAGACGAAAAATGCTGATACGGTATTTTTTCAGGCAAATATAAGTCGATGTACTACACGTAGTACGCAGACGTTTAATTCGCATTTTCGATATGGTGTTTACGTGCAAGCAGCTCCGCCACAGGATAAGGAAGTTCAAACCAGAAGAGACAACTGTACAAACACTAAGAAACTCCTGACGTTCATATATGGATTACGAGGAAGGCGAGATGATAATCAGCACGTTGTATCATTCTTGGAAAACGAACTTGAACATTTATAAAATTTCGTCTTCGAAATAATTACGTAAAACTAGTATATGCACGTAAATATCTTAATAACATTGACGTCAAATGAAATATATAAAAAATATTTTTAAGTGAATTATACATTTATATTGTAAATAATCAATCACATATATGAATGCATTTATTCGGAATATTAAAGGATACATATAATGGGTCATATTAAGAAAGTACTAGGAAATAATTGAAATAAATTACAAGACAGTTTAAAAAAAAATGAAAGCAATATTATTTAATGACACTTCCAAATACATTTTTCGGAACATTACAGTTTAAATAGAACTTTTCTCCTTTTTTTTTAGAGAAACAAGTTTGTATTCTAATGTATCATTTCGTATGCATAGCATTTTTTTCACGCAATGCTTTCGTTATCATAAACTGCAATGATCTCATTCGTGTGGCTTTATTCCTGGTTTAGGCCAGCATTTCTTTAATTTATATTCAAAATACACGAATTTTACACATGTCGAAGCTCGGACAGATGTATGCGGTTAAGATTCCGCACCTCGCTTCGTGAGCCTATTATTTTATTTCCTACACTTCAACAGCCAGTGGTCGCTGCACCCACTGTGACTTTAATCATTTAATATGCTTATAAGATACCTTTCAATGAATATATTGTTTTACCATTAGATCTTAAACATTAGATTCAATTTTTACACCAAGAAACCTATATTACGACAATAATTAGTAATTACACGATAATACAATTAAACTTTGCTTACATTTGCATGTGTATAATGTAGCTATTATACAGAAGAGGTACAGGATGTTAATTTTCCGCATAGCTTCTCTCTTTTTTTTTTAATTTAAATGTTCGTATTTTTTTCGTTTTGGAGGCAAAATTTGCCATTCTATTACATCCATTTTTCAGAAAAAATTATTTCAATATAAAAACGTAAAGAATGACAAAAATACCACAAAACTAACGTCAGACTACGCACAATTCGTAGTAGAATTGCAGAAATTGATCATTTGCTAGGATAAACTGTTCATATTCACTGTTTGTGATCTGCGGTTCGTTATGTATAGCTCTACACACGAATTGATTTGTGGTGATTCCCCTTGATTTTGTGGGAAAATCGTATCATTGGTAAGTCAACATGAATGGTAAACAATAACCGCATTTAGCGAATCCGCTCGTCCATATTAAACTGCGTTCGGGAATACACGAATGCCTTCAAATATCATTCTATCCTTGTTATTAACCGAATGTTAAATAAAGATAAACAGATACCTGAAGGCATTCAATGTGTATTCCCGAATGCAGCCTTACTCACTAATCTCATGCGAATGACGAACAGCAAATTATAAACCACAAATCATGCATGATCTGGCGTTAACTTTAAGGATTTTTGTATTAAAAAACATACATATAATTAAGATCATCGATAATAACACAATACTCATCTGCAAAAAAATATGATACTAAAAATTTTATCATAATTTTTTAACACCTTTCAATGGCGATAATGTAGCAAAATATTATTGGATTGAGATAAATCAAAGCTCAAATTAAAGCTTGAATATTTCTTTTAAACATAAAAATATCAAAATTAAAAACTAAGAAAAAAGTTGTCCGTAATATTCTTTTTAAAACTGTATAATTTTGTTTTTGAAAATGTTACTCAAACAAAAATATTTAAAAACGGATATGTTGAAAAATAAAAATTCCTACATTTTTATATTTGACAGTAGGCTCGGTTGAAATATGTTTTAAAAAATTTCCAAAAATTTGTCAAAGTTATCTTCATACGCCATTTGTTAAACATTTTTTATAACTCAATTTTTGTTTTTTTTTTGTGTTTAAGAGAAAATATTTAAGCTTTAATTTGACTGATTACAATTTTTTGCTTAGTGCTAGATGTTAAAAAATTGTGTTTAAATTTGTGGTCCATTTTTTTGGAGGTGAATGTAGAAAAAAGAAACTTCTTCAATACTTGAAATATATTGAAAAAACTATATCATCTATGTGGTATATGTATTAGTTGAAATGTCACGTAATAAAATTGAATTTTTTTTAATCTCGGAAGATTTCAAAATTAAACTTTTTCAATTTATCATTCACTAATGCCATTGCTATAATGATGCGTCACGTTATGTTGTATTAGGAGTAAGATATTGTTATTAATGACGACCATACAAATGATATAACATTTATTTTGAATTAGATGACTTAAAACCAGCTTATTGACTATTGGCCACTGTAATGTCATTCACATTTCGAATTATCTGAACGTCCATAGTAACAATTGTCCCAGTGTCAAGAAGAACCATTAAGAACATCTGTGTATAATTACTTGTTAAATATTATTTGAATGAATTATCAAATGCCTTATTCCCAACGCATTTGTTGAGAGTCATACTTGTAATAAAGCTTATTGGGTCAATATGATATTGCAGTCATCAATGGAACAAAATGGTTACAATGGGCGACAGAATATATCGGAATGGTGTAAACATGGTCTAAAGTCTTAAGTCGCAAGAAATACCTTTGTGTTTCATGTATAGTATGTATGTATCGTGTGAGAAAGATGAAGAGGTGCACGAGACGCACCTTGGAATATGTTATATATATATATATGTATATAACTTGTCGGAGATCGGGATTGAAGAATGATTTAATCTACAAAGTGATTTTTGAGGTATTTCATCATACCGAAAGTTCTGAAACGCTTTACGCCGATTACCTTCATTAATTCCTCATCACAAATCGCAAATTGTTTATTCTTAGGATCCTGTAAAAATAGTCATTTTCTTGGCAACATGATTTTTGTTAAGTAAATACATACATTTAATATAATACATAATTTCTAAAATATAACAAATAGTAAAGTAGAAAATGAAGTACAAATAATACTTACATAAAGATTCCTTTCTTTGATAATACTCCATACTTTCTTCACGACTTCATGTCGAGCCATTTGTTCTGCGCCAACAACAGCGGCGAGTTCTGGGGACAGTGTGATAGCGCGTGTATAACCACCACCTTTGCCTTTGCCACCAGCTCCTCCCTTCTTTGCTGCGCTTCCTGGAGCTTTTTTGTTTTTACCCCAGTCCTCGTCACTATCACTGTCACTTCCCTTCTTTTTTCCTTTCTTTCCAGGCTTACCTATAAAAAATGTAATACATCCCACGTGAGAATTTTAATGAAATCTTGACGAAACATAAAACTTTATTACAATAAAAAAAATATCTTACTTTTTTTAGGTGTAACTTTAGGTTTCTTTGGACTGTATTCTTCATCGCTAGCATCATCATCGCTAGCGCTTTCTTCATCTTCGGAGGATCCCTTCTTACGTTTATTAGGAGTTTTCTTAGCAGGATTTCGCTTGGCTGGTTTTTTTTCTTCCTCCTCCTCCTCCTCTTCAGACCCTTCTTCCTCTTCCTCTTCACCATCTTCAGACTCTTCACTAGCAGCCTTCTTCTTTTTCTTTCCTCCATCCTGTTTTTCTTGAAGACATTCCATGACTAAATCATCGACTTCCTTTTTCCTATAAAGGATGAATGTAATTTGTTATTTTATAAGTAATTATTGTAAATGTATCTGTAAAAGTTGTAAAATATAAAAACTTGTTAGAGGAGGAACGAGGTGGTAACTTATATTTATTATATTACAGTTCCACTCAGATATCCTCTGTTTTTTTCTAGGACACCACGAGACTCTCTTCCGCACTATTTTACAGTGCACAAGTGCCTATTATATGTCCATTTTAAAGCTTTTGATTCAGTTTTAAAAGTAATATAATTAGTAAAATAATTAAATTTATTTTATACTGAAAAATAAAATAAATTGTGATATTATGGTAATATGATCAGCATACATATTATGAGCACACATGATAAAGCATCAGATAGATAAAGGAATGAATTGCTTCCCTATTTAGCAACATATCAATTTGTTTAAAAAAATGCAAAAATAAATTCTTTTATATTAAATGCTTGCATACATCCAAGTATTTATGTTCGAAATTCATATCTTTAATATTTTATTAATATGATTCATGCTTAAAGTTAACTTACATTATCAACATGATGAAATATTCATTTATAATATATAAACGTATTCTCAATTCAACCTGCAATAATATAAAGAAAAAGACAACGAAGAAACAAAATAGTCGAATTATAATGGCAAAGAACAGTCTTTAGATGTTGCAACATTAACGAGAGCAAATGCGCATGTATATCGAAGAAAAATATTTTGTCGCGTCGCGTAATATGAATCGACTTGGTATTGAAATGGTGCCGTTGCTTTTTTTTATGTGCTAATGCATGAATGATTGTCGTATCTTATCATATATCAAAATATAAAAAAGATGCAAAAATATATAATAAAAAATATTTCTGTAATCATATTTCATTTGTGTTTTTATCTGTTGCCTTACCTTTCTATGAGATCAACATCGAGTTTTTCTTCGATTTGTTGCCTCACTTTTTTAGCAGACATAGTAGTAAGATCAGCATCCTTGAGGATAGCTAAACAAAATTAATAAACATAATATAATTACACTTTGTAATTAAGATACATTAAAGTATTTTTTGGTTTTCGCCATATAATATTTATATTAATAACATAAATATTACATTGCAAAAACTAAAAAAATTTGAAAATTTTTAAGAACCATTGTTATTTAAACAATTATCCCCAAGAAAAAATTTTTCATATAAGAATATATATAAAAATATAGTAATATGTAATTATATACAAAATTTGGTCATACGTTCCTTTCTTTTGTAAACTCACTGTTTGATACAAGCAAAATAATAAAAAACAAAAAGTAATTAAAATGATTCATTATTTTCGCAGTTTCTTTAAAAAAAATTCCAGTTTGAGGAAATAAGAAAAAATTGCACATATATAATTGTGTATAATAATTCGAATATAATTATATGTGCAATTTTTTATCTCATTTTTTTCAAACTTAAACTTTTGTAAATGCAACAATGCGAAAATAATCCTTTTAATTATTCTTTGTTTTCTCATTATTATTATTTTTCTTGTGTCAAACAGTAATTATATAAAAGGATTTATGGATAAGTTTCGTATATAATCATATATTTTTACATATGTTTAAATGTTATTCTTATATAACAAATTTTTTTTAGGCCCTTAGAAATTTAAATAATTATTCAAATATCAATTTGTATATTCTATAACTTCGGCTTAAATCCATTAAAAGTAATTAAAAAATGTAATGCATATTGTTTCTGTAGACACTTTATTTATAACAGAATTTTTTTTATTTGCTACTTTTAAGCAACACTAATTTTATTATTTAGGAAGGAATGAGGTAATGGAGAGAGAAAAAAATGACAACCAAAGGCCATTTCGATCGACTCCGATTAACTTAATCAGCACTACTATTTTAATAAATAATACAAATAAAAGTATCAAATTAATTAATAGAATTATATTTAATATATCGAAAAAAAGATTAAGAACAATAAAACTGCAGTATACAAGAGATGTTGTTTTAAATGATTTTGCAAAATCGAATTAATCGTCGATTAAAGTTAATCAGAGTTGATCGAAACGGTCCTTAAAGTACAAGTTAAAAAAGCCGCGCAAAATGAATTGTTCGCGTGCAAGAGCGGAAGGTTACGCTTCGCCGCTCAATTCTCCGCACTTGTGTACACGCGAGGCTCTGGAATAGTTTGGTTTCCCGCGTCGGGGGGACCTAGTGAGTATCGAGCGCAAATGGCCGCCGTGGCGCGAGGCGCGCGCCGTGCCGGTCGCCGCCGATCGGAGCAGCGCGCGACTCTAATAAAAAGATATCTGTAAGTACGCAACGAGTCATCGTTGCGACGCGTGGAGCGAGACGCGGAGGGATTTTTCTCGGCGTACCGCGGTCGATCGTGCGGCGCATTGATTCCCGAAACGATCGAAAACCGCGAGAAAGATGGAAGGAACAAGAGGAGAGACAGAGAAGCGAAGGGAAATGGAGTATACGCGCGCGCGCGCGCGCGCGCTCGCGCTCGGTCGATTCGCGACGCGCTCGCCGAAAACTGTTCTTGAATAAAAAAAAAAAAAAAATAAAAAAAATACGCGAGGCGCGCGCGCGCGCGTGTATTGGTAACGCGCGCGCTTCGTTAATCATCAACCGCCGCTTTGCAACTCGCAACGGGCGAGACACGATTTGTAATGGCGATGGACGGTTACAGCCGCGTTACATCGACAATGGGGGAAAGATAGCGAACTGGCGAATATCTCGGCATATTAACGGCAACGGACGGTGGTGGAGGCGGGCGGCAGCGAACTCCGGTTATAACCAATGACGATCTATTCGGCGATACGCGAGAGAGGCGCGCGAAGGAGGGAAAAAAGGGCAGCGCGCGCGCGTGGCCGTTTCCGATCGACGTGAAGCGTATCTTTCTCGAAGGAGCTTCACACCAGGAATATATAGGCACTTTTTTTATCTGCTACGACATAAAAATCCGCCGTGACGCGGTACAGAGAGTACGAGCGAGAGTGGGAATGGGACACGAATCGAGAGCGAGGCTGATAGGCGCGCGCCACCACACACTCGAGACGCGTCATACGGCCCGCCGCAAGGACGGGAACGAGAAAGCTATCTTTTTATAGCGAACGACGAAAAATCCGAATTTTCGCCAGGACACCGAAATGGCTAGATGAAAAATCGCGAGCGGATTGCACGGAGCGGTTATCCGGCCGGTCGTACCGTTAGCCCGCGACGTAGATGGTAAAATACGGTGAGCCGCAGTTATAATGGCCGGCGTGGGGCACGCCACTTGGGCACATACGTGCGCGCTAAAGTCGTCACGTCGCAAGAGCAAAGAGCCCGATTTCGCCTGTATTCCCGGTCCGATGGCGACGCGCAACGCGTGCGTACGCCCGAACGTAGCTCGATTACGCTGATATCACGCACCGATATCGCCTACATCACGCAATATCGCCACTTACCGGTGATCTCCTTGCGTAGCTCCTCCTTCGAGATATCGGCCATGGTAGATGCTACTCGTTGTACGTACTGCTGCCAACTGAGCCTACGCCGGCTACGGACTCTCGTAGCGTCCGTTGGTACAGTCAGCGCTGAAAGTGCTCCGATACGCATCCACCCGACGCGCCTGCGAACGCGAATAACTCGACAACGATCGCACCGAGACGAATACTATATACACTAAATCGTGTTAGTTTTTTACGATCTACAATTTTCTCATCACGCCCCACGCGTAATTCGGCGATCCGAGGATGCCAATTCGGTGTTTCTTCACAGCCCTCCGGCCGTACTTTCCCAACTGGCTGTACATGAAGCGGCCGCTCGTGGCTGCCGGTGGCGTCCACGGTACAGTCTGCGCGCCTCGCTGACTGACGGCGCCTACGGAAAAATCATTTTCGACCCGCAATAACTCCTCAACGCGGGCCTGAACACGGATACTATATACACCAAATCGGGCCAACTTTTTTTTCTCTACAAGTTTCTCATGACGCCCCTGACGTAATATTGCGATTTAACCGACCCAATACGTGTTTTCCTCGCTCGTGCCGTGCGAGCCTTTTGTCGCCGACTGTACCGAGGATACTCCGAGTTTCGTTGCGTCGAGCCGCCTAGTCCGCGTCATATGACAATCGCTCCGTGTTCGGAGGGATATAATTAAAAAGAATGCAAAGATCGCGATGACGGGTATAAATGATGCAAAAAAATTAACGGATGTATTTTTGTTTGTCATCGTGTGCGTTGGAATATTTCGTACGACTTGTTTAATCAATTCTTGCTATTTTTATCGAATTACATATCGTAACCGTTTGCAGTCAGTTTAACGGTCATCTCGAGAAAAGAATATATGCACGCGCGACAGCGTGTACAGAAAATAGCAAAACGTTTAACTTGTTACATCATCACGATATCTAATCGTCCCAATTCCTCGCATACCGAAAAAATCATCCTTTTAAGCGTAATCGCGACCAATCAGCACAATATTTTAACGGGCCGCGACGGTCGGTACGGCCAGTCGGTTCCTTCGTCGTGTTAGCGGTACAGTAACGTCCAAAAGTATCGGCAAACCCGCCGCGATAAATAAACTTTGGAAACGCATATCTCCGAAACGGTGCGTCGCACGGCGATACTACCGTCACATAATCGTATCAGTTTGGCACGACCAAGAGTTTTCTTATGAAGCGCCACGCTCGATTTTTCCATCTAAGCAAGTCCCTACGGCTCGTACGTCGCACGTGCCGGCTTTACTTTCGACGCTGACTGTACTGCATTCGGCGCATCTACTTGCGAGTCGAGCATCTCGCGGTCTCGGCCGAAGTCGTATCGTAAATTTGTTCTTGTAGCTTGCGTCGCGGGGATAAAAGCGATTTTCGACGTGAGACGAGCGCTCGCGTCTCCGTCACGACCACCAATCGTTGTTTACCGACGATGCATCCCAACGTAAATACCGCCATGAACGTTTGAATATTCCAACATGGCCGAGCCAATCTTTGTGGATGCACCTGGCCACATGGCACCTTCCCCGGCCATACCGGTTACGACGATGCGATATTGGGTGGCCCGAGCGAACGCGACGAGTTACGTACGTCCAATCAGCTTGCGATGATTTCGACAAGACTGGCCTGACTCGACAAAATTACGTATTTTCTCTCCGAAAATATTACTTTCCCTCTCAATTCACACGTCATTTCCGGTCGTTTAGGGCGGTCATTAACAGTGCCCGTAAAACGAATGCAAGATTGTTTACTAAACTTCCCAATCGAATGGTTGAAAAATTTATGCGCGAGATTTAATCGCGTTTTGTATATAAGATACGATTATATTGATTCTCGAAAACAAAGTATAGGATGATATTCTCAGTTGCTGATTTGTCTCCAAGTTATTGACATTTTCGCATTATTTGGAAGCATGTCGTGCTCTCTGTTGACGACGCCTGGTATTACATCCGCGTAACAGGTGCAGCTGGAAAGCAGGATGCAGCTTAGGTTAGGCTAGTCAGCAGGTGACGGTAAAAGCGGCAAATGTAAGCTACTTTAAGTGCCATTAATGTTGCATGCGTTAATCCCATTATTATTAAGAAGATGATCAAGATGATTAAGACAGTACATCTCAAGGTTTCCTATTTTCATGTTTACGTTTGACGCTCACTTACAGCGTCAATTAAAATATAGGTTATATGATTAAAATTGACGCTGGACAGTCAAAAAATGCATGAAAATGATGTAGTATCAATCTTGAATCGAACGATTTGATGCTGGAAATTGAATAAATTCAATCGCTAAGCATCAAATTGAGACCGTGGCCGGTATTCATAGTCGATTCTTATTTTAAGACCGTCTTAAGTAATGTCTTAAGTCGCTAATGCGGCCCTCTGATTGGTTCATGACATCTTAAGACTGTACTTAAGAGGGTCTTAAATATAAGATCTGACTATGAATACCGGCCCGTGACGCTTTTACAGGATCTCATGAAATAGCATTTTCTGACTAATGCAAATATTTTTTTCTTAAAAATAGTCTAAAAATACAAGTCACATTCGTACATCATTAAAATTGAAATTTATTACCGATTAAATTTATCACTTAAACGTATTCTAACAGTTGCGTAATAAATATAATTATATATATAGACATTATTTAAATGTAATTATGTAAATATTTTTAATTCAAAACTAGATCCCTACAGTACAAAATTGCACAAAAGTTGCAGCATGAATATTGTATGTTATAGCAATATTGCAAAGATTTTGCAAATTCTATGCTGTATGGAGATTAATTGCCAAGTATAATAAATTTTTTTAACAAATATGAATGACACAAATGTGCTGTTGGTACAATCATTTTAGTACGATATTTCCGATTGACGTTAATACTTTTCTCTGCATATCCCATCGTCTCTATTCGATTAATTTATAAAATATAGTGTATATATCAATTGTTTAATAGAAAAGTGACGTAACTAAAAAATTAGCATTTTGAGATAATAATAAGAAGTCATCTCTACAGTGCAGTGCATTAATTCGCTGAGTCATAGTAGCGGCCCGACTTATCGAAAATAAGAAAATGCAGTAGTAAAAAGTTGATAAAAAATTCTAAAAAAATTCTTAGAGTTCTATGAGAAGAAAATAAATGATTTTTGTCTTTTGCAGTTTTTCTGTAAAGTTGACAGTATTTAAGTAAAAAATAAACGTCGATAAGGCGGGCCACTACTATGACCCAGCGAATTAATGCACTGTAGTGTACACTTTTGTTGAAAAAAAAAAAAACATTTGTAACTCTCCCAATTTATCACTAGGGGGCAAAAGTGTCGTTTATCCTGTTTGCAAGTTCGTAATAATAACAGAAAAGAAATATTTTTTGAGTTGTATATCGTAAAGAAATGCTGAAATAATTATAAACAAATGTTTTATTTGTGCTATTTTTTTTTCTTAAAATATGTTTTCTTCTTTAGAATTAAAAAAATTTTCTTGAAAAGTTTTCCCATCAACAAACAATTATATATACATATATAGATGCGCTCGACTTCACGCTACAAATGCTTTGAAGCATTCTTTGATGACTTTGTAAAATTCTTTCTTCTGATTGGTCAACAAAGCATTTGCAGTGATCAACAAAAAAATTGTCTTGGAGATGGTAACTCTCATCGATCATAACTGTGAAGGTAACTGCGAATTCATGTTCAAAATTGGATAAGTTACCGATACTCGTTGATCTCGCAGAAATCTACAGTTGCGCCACGACACTCTTCGCTTCGCCGCCAGATGTCGCCAGCGTGTGTACATCAGTTTGAATTTCAGGTTTTCAGAATATCGGTTGACGGGAACGAGGGACTTAGTTCTTGTATCATTATTGCCATTTGGTTGTACCATGACCTCCTTTTACATCGCGCATAGTGCAGTCGTACTAACCGATTGTGAAAACATCGACCCGAAATGTAAACGTCAACGACTTCTTCGTGAGTAATGTAGATACATTTCGATTCAAGTATTCGATTTGAGGAACAACGCTGCCTTTGGTAGTTGTGCGAAGAAACGGATATAAAACAACCGTCGCATTTCTGCATTACTATTTACTTGCATTCGTCTACAAATTAATGAATGGCAAGTAAATTGACGTCTTACCAAGACTAATTCTGATAGTATCATTAATATTGATTACACAAATTAGAATTAGCATCTTTTTCTCTGCGTATTATTTAATTCATCAACTTGCAATGTGCGTTAGATGGCGTAACGTCGAGAGGAGAGGAATCGCAAGATTAGGATCATTCTTCGTACAATCGACGCTCTCAGATGAGCAACGCTTTTACAAATCGGAACGTGACGTGATGATATTATTAGGAGCTTTAACGTTAATTTGCTTCGCCAATGCGTGCTCGCGTGAACCTCGCGAGCGTGCATCGTTAATACTACGCGGCAACAAATAGGGACACAGAATTATGATAAATTCTCGAGGAGCACGTTGTTGCACAACTATGAGCTTGATAATACAACTGCTAATCGAACTAATTAGTTCGCCGTTCCACTTGAAGGCGATACGTCGAAGCGGTTGTCGCGATGTCAAGCGGCGGTGATGTTAATCGTACGCAAAGAAAAGATCGCGATTACAATCTCGCAATTATTATTCTATAATTCCTGCAATTTAATTAACTCTATGTTTAGACACACACACACGACTTTAATATTCATGAGACATGAAACTTGATCGAATCGCGTTGCAATATCAATTCGCAAACATCGCGTAACGTATACCCTATACATGTATGCATACACTTGCCGACGTTCCGACAGACTTGTTCGGAACCGTCGATTTTATCTGCACGCGTACATAAGTTTATACCGCATTGTAAATCATTTCCGCACGAACGCAGCGGAACCGAAAATTCGCACCGAGCCCTTCTGTCCTCGACGCATTATCGGCTGTTTCCTTTATCACCCGGTATATGTGTAGTATATGCGAGTGGCAGCTCGAGAGCTCGCGATGGATCAACGTGAGCACGTGTAGATACGCGTGTGCGTGCGCGTGTATATATGTATATATGTATGGGGCTAAATTCGAC